TTTGTGGGGTATATTTTTAGACATTATCTTGATTATTCGTTGCATGGTATTTGCTTCTGTCTGGAGTGTTATTAACTTACTAGTGTGTACTTCAGAAGCTTGGTAAATTATCCTGAATTCAACATTTTCTTCCCCTTTTTTGTTGGGAACTGATTATAAGTTTGAATTTATTTACTTTTATTAAAAAAATATCTTTTTGGGAAAACCAGAAGGATTCGAATAAGACGAGATGGTTTGGGTGTGTAGAGACTTACTAGTGGTAGTTATAAAGTTGTGATATGGTATCGATTTAAATACGCTTTCTTTCTTTGGGGATTGAATTACATTCGAACTGCAATTATGCCGACCATATTCTGTTTCGAATGCAACACGTAATGCAATTTTAGTAATAATAAACGCGGAATGTATGGTGCATCTTCCGTGAATCTAAACCTGTCATTTGCCATGAGTACATTTTCTGCCCTGATATCCAACTAAGGAAAAGATAAAAATAGAAGTCTTCAAATTTACTTTGAAATTTCTGATAGTACCTTGTGATTTTCTTAATTCCGGAATCCGAACCACCATCGTATATTCGTATTAAATAGCCTGTGTAGTTTCTGGGAGCGTCTTGAATTGCTGAGGTTTTGGCTTCTGTAAAATTATTATTAATTAAAATGGTCTGGTTTTAACATGAAAGGAAACACATTTACCCTATTAGGCCATTTCTTTTTTAGCCGAAACGGCTTGCATGGAAGTTTTTTTTTTCAATAATGCTTTTCGCCTTCCAGAATCCAATGGAGAAAATTGCTCCTTTATGTTTCTATCTGGTCTAAAGCCAAGGTTTGTACCCAAGGACGTATCAAGTTGGTTTCTTTACTATTCCTTTTTGCCAGCCCTACTCATATCTAAAAAACAACTGAATCTATCTCCATGTTGCTTGTCGATAACAAAAAGTATCTAGGGTTCTGTAATTATCAACCTGCGATAGATGTTTCCATCTGGAGAATAATCCTTTACTCTTAATGTTTCTACTTCCATAATAACATCGAAATTTTGCAGAGAAGGAAAATCTTTGTCTTTATGGATTTCCTGATGAGCATTGGGAAGTTAATTTGCCTGCTGAAGAGGTGCCTCCTGAGCTTCCGGAACCTGCTTTGGGTATAAACTTTGCTAGGGATGGAATGCAGGAGAAAGACTGGCTGGCTCTCGTGGCTGTGCACAGTGATGCATGGCTACTTTCTGTTGCTTTCTATTTTGGTGCCAGATTTGGTTTTGATAAAGCTGACAGGTAGTCTATTTAAAAGCTTGGAACTTTATGAAGTTTTTTCTTCCTGTTTTCATTTTTATGTCCTCTTCTCCTGGTGTACCCTGACTATCTTTTCGTTAACTTCCTTTAAAATTTCTCCTCCTCTTTATTTTTATTTCTATTCTGTTTGTAAAACCTGGTATTGTTAGTTATTTCATCTATTATGACTAGAGCTAGTGCAGGAGTAGTTTTTATACCTTATTTTGCATTGGTAGCTTGGTCTTATTCAAAGTTATATTCGTCTGAGATTTTGCTACACATTTTAAGACATTTTTAAATCCGAGATTTTTAAGAGTTAATTGGATTTTACCGAAATCCAGGAAATCTTAAGTCTATAGGTGGGAGGTGGGATTTGGGTTAAGAGTTTGTATATGCATTTTATCCTTGAAATCTCATTAAGTCTTAAAAACTCCAACCAATTCTCATTGATAACGAAATTGAATATGTCATCACGTTCAAGACTTATTAAAATCTGAAATGAACACCTCCGGACATTCAAAAGTTTGAAAAAGTCTCAATTAAACAAATCAAGATTCTCAAAATCTCGAAGTCTTTAAGAATCCCAAAGGAATACACCTTAGTTGTGCGTTGAAGTATTGAGGAGGTGTTATGATCTCCATGGTGCATAGTGCATGATTTTAATTGTTACCATTTTTGGTGCATGTTTCTCGAATCCCCTGTCATTTTTTCCACTATCACATGAAAATGGACATAAGTTCAATATATAAAATGCATATCTGTCCTTTTATTATTTATTTTTTAATTTATTTTTAACGTGTCTTATCTAATTTACCACAATGGAATTGTTGCTCATCTATATAAATAAGTGTTAGCTTCGTTAGATAAATAATAAGTAGCCATCTGAATTGTGGTTTGTGGAATACTGGAGTGTACTATCCTCTGAAGAAGTGGTTCCAAGAAATTTCATTGTCAAATAATCATTTTTTAATTAGTTTATTTCTTGAGTTTTCCATTTTCTACTCCCTCTTTATGAGTAATGTTGTGCTTGATGGTTATATGATGTTCATTGTTGACTTCTTCACTCTATTTGCTCCTGGATAAGAAGAATGTACAAGTGATGACATTTTAGTTTTAGTGCATGGTATCTTCTATAATAACTAATAAGGTCTGTAATGTTATGCGAGTACTCTACTAAATGCAAATGCTGTGTAATTAATCAATAGTATTTTTCCAAATGATGTTGACTTTATACTTTTTGGTGGTGGATGCAGGAAGCGTCTATTCAATATGGTAAATGATCTTCCGACGATTTTTGAAGTTGTGACCGGAGCTGCAAAAAAGCAAGTAAAGGAAAAGTCATCTGTTTCAAACCACAGTGGCAGTAAATCCAAGTCAAACTCAAAACCGGTAACGGAATTTTTCTTTCTTTATCATTTATTGATGCATAGAAGAAGGATGTCTGTTATGTCCACAAAGTTTGTGTGGTTTCCTTTGGAATCACTTATGATCTGACTAATTTGATCAGTTTCAAAAAATGGAGTTTTGCTACGTCATTGATGACTGATCTTCCTATACTGTCCAGGCTCATATTTGTATCTGGTAAATAGTTAAGAGTAGTCGTTCATTTTTCACCTGTTAATGTGGAAGTGAAGTTGAATGAAGGTGCTTAAAATTACTGCATGTTGGGTGCCGAGTTTTCTAAAATGAAGAAGAAAAAGCTACTTTAAGCACTTGCCTCTATGAATATGCACCTTTTAGCTTGCTGTGTGCTAGATTTTGAGGAATGTGGCGGCCTACTTGGTTGTGGTTTATCACTGTGTGGGTCTCAACTTTGTTTGAATGACTGATGCATTGAATTTTCTATTAAGTAGCAGCCTGGGGGTGTGGATCAGTCAAATCATCTCATCATTCTTTCATTTATGATATCATTCTTTCAACTATAAATGATTTTTTTACACTCAGTTGTTTGAGTATGCCTTGTTTGCAATATATATATGATGAAGACTCAAAGTTGTGTTCACGTGTTGATCGGCTATATATTCAGTGAGGCGGTTCAGACCTGAGCATGAGTCATTTTCTGTACCAAAGCTCTTTTTTCCAATTCGGATATTTTTTGTTCGTACTTTACGGGCAGCACGTGTTTCAGTGTCATTACTTCGCTTCCTTTTTAGGCCAACTTCATTAAACATGTTCCTAATTTATTCAACCATACCCTTCGGCCTTCATAAGCGACATAACCTAGCTGTTTTCTGTTTTTTTTTTTTTCCTTGATAAAATTTCAGACCAAAACTAAGGTACAAGCAAAGGATGAAGATGAGGTACTTGATGAGGAAGATGAAGACGAGCATGGGGAGACTTTATGTGGGGCGTGTGGCGAGAACTACGCCGCGGATGAGTTTTGGATTTGCTGTGACATATGCGAAAGATGGTTCCATGGCAAGTGTGTGAAGATCACGCCTGCCAGAGCCGAGCACATCAAGCAGTACAAATGCCCGACTTGCAGCAACAAGAGGGCCCGCCCGTGACTTGATCGGGCCTTGCCTTTTTCGGGCTCGTCCTTTCTTTTTCCTGATCATATCTTTACGGACGAGATGGCGTGTACAATTGTTGCTGCTATTGCTTTCTTTTTCGGGTTAGCCTTCTAATGCTCTTGTAAGCACAATCTTTGTTAGATCTCTTTTAATTGTTCATTGTAGGGATTTATTTGATGTGTTGCGAGGAGATTGGGGCCTTCTTTGTGTCCTTTTAACATTGGTTTTATGCTGTCAAAACTGTGGGAATGTTACCTATTTACCAGTTAAACAATGAAATCTGTTTGTGTGTGTGTGTGTGTGTGTGTGAGAGAGAGAGAGAGAGAGAGAGAGAGAGAGAGATTTGCCTAATGAACCATGAAAGATTCGACTCTGACAGGGGGTTTCAGCTGTCGGTTCACATGCGCACACATTTGTACACACATTTTGTGTTGATCTAACGGCTAAGACCTTTCGAATTTGCCATATGAACCACATACCTCGGGTGCATCTACTTAACGTAATTTAGAGTTAGCTATAATGCCTTGTTTTTTTAGCTAAACTAGTTTTACCCGTGCATTTGCACGAAAAATAATATAATAGAAGAGAAAATAAATAAAAATATAGAATAAAATAAAAAATCATAACTTAATGAATGAAAAAAAATTATTTAAAAAAGTTAATCTAAAAATTTATTAAACACTTGTTTATATAGGCCCCGTTTGGAAGATAGCGGATTGAAGATAAATTAGCGGATTGGACTCAATTGAGAGGTTTGACCCGTCAAATCCGCTATTAAGTTTGTTTGGTAAATAGCTTATTTGATAAGCTTTTTCGGCCCAAAACTCTAATTTAGAAAAAGCTCATTAGAGGAGCTTTTTGGGATAGAGGATTCACAATCTACTATTTTAATTTGAAACTTTTTAATTTGTATTATTTATTTTACAATTTGCATTGGTTTATGGTGCTAATAAATAATAATATGTAATTTATATGATTAATTTATCTAGAAAAATGTAAAATTTATAACTTCTTAATCAAGTGTTAGTAAATTTAAAAAAAAATAATATATTTATAAATTATCAACTAAAGAATATTAAATGTTTTAATATATTATTATTAAAAGAATACACCCTAAATAATAAAAATGTCCTTATTGGTAATTTGCAATGTCAAACAACTATAAGCTTTCAGCTATTTACCAAACACTTATTTAAAAACCGCTAATGCAATTCGCGGGTCAAATCAGCTAATATAATCCGCTATCCGCTATCCGCTAATACAATCCGCTATCCGCTATCCGCTATCCGCTGATCGCCAAACAAGGCCATAAAACAATTGTAATTTTATTATCGTCAGAATCCTCATAACAACAAATCCTTATCGTTAAATTTCTTCGACTCGTGACTATGGGATTTGATTTTCGAAATATTTGATATATCTTTGTAATATCTAAAATAATATTCTTTATTATTGTATGACTGCAATATAAAATAGAGATATTTGTAGTCATTTTAAATTAGTTGTGAAATATGTATTTATATAATACCTATAAAATATATAGTATCAAAATAAAAACAAAAATATTTTGTATTAATGACATAAAAATGCGTTACAAAAATGGGGACCATCCAAAATGTGACATCAAAATAAATTGTGCAACTGAAAGTTACGTATCTATACTTATATTAAATGGGATTTTATTTACTAAATATAGTAGGTAAAAAAGACAGACTTAATTAATGAACTTCTAATTTTATCAAGTAGTAATTAATGCATTTATAATTTATGCTGACATAAAAAATATTTTTTTTATAAATCTTAACATAAAAAATTTTGTACGTAAATCCCATAAAAAAAAATCCTTCTTATAAATTTATGATGAACTTCTAATTTTTAATCCTTCTTATCTTGACATAAAAAATCCCATAAAATCGGGTGAGCAAAAACAATCAAAATCTATACTTATATAATAAGGTATCCTATTTACCAAATGTAGTAGGTTAAAAAGTCAATGTAATTAATGCATTGTTATTTCTATCCAGAATTTTGTTTAATTATTTTATTTATTTGTCTTATATCCAATAAAATTAGTTTAAGAAAAAAATCTCATAACATCTGATAAGTAAAAAAAAAAAGGACGTAAAATCTTTACTAAAATTAAAAAAAAAAAGCTTTATTTATTTGTCTTATTCCATATTAACATCGATTTTGTCAAAACAAATCCCAAAAAATTGGTGAAGTCAAAATTTGTACGTAAAGTCCATCTATACTAAAAAAAGGCAGATTCAAAATTTCTTATTTAATTCATTCTTTTCTTTAATAAATTCCTTCTTATTATCTAATTGTATGGAAATCTATTCTGATTTTGTTCAATTCTCTAATTGTATTTGTATTATATCCCATAAAATCAGTTTAACAAAAAAATTCAATAACATCCGATAAGTAAAAAAAAAAGTACGTAAAATCTTTACTAAAATAAAAAGGCTTTATTTATTATCTAATTGTATAGAAATCAGTTCTGATTTTGTTCAAACCGATTTCTGTATATTCAAATTAAGATTTTCTAAAAAAAATATTAACAACAATATATATCTATTCTACCCATTATAAATTACAAATCTCAAAATATTGAGTCATAATCCTCACTATCAACCTCATGCAAACAAAAAATATCCCCAATCAGTCTTTTATTCAAAACAATGAATCAAGGATTTGGGTTAATCAAACAAGTTAATAGGTCTAATAGACCTATGCTCAAAGTTCGAATTGTGAGAATGTTTTTCCAAGACTGGGGCAACACATACAAATCATATCTCGAGTTGGTTCTGCATGATAAGACTGTAAGCCAAATTATTTGAATTTTTGTTTTAATTTCGAAATTTGAAGCGTATATATATTTTTTTCCGTGTATGTATTTAGATATTTTTGTACATGTTTAGTGAAATATATTTTTGATTTTTTTTTTAAATTATATTTTCAGATTTGCAATTTGGTTTATTTATTTCACATATCGTGTATGTATTTAGATATTTACATTATTTATACTTATTTTCGTGTATTGTAAAACTTTTATTGAATATTGCATCTTATAGTATAATAATCCCCAAATAAATATATCACGTGCCTCGCACATGTCACGTACTATATACATTCCGTATATTTTTCTTTATTCATTTATATAATTATAAGGCTGGATAAATGACCTTAAAATTGTGCACCACGTGCATCGCATGGGCTCTGTACAAGTTATTATTAAATAGTAACATATTTTTATTAAATGCAACTTATTTTTATTAAATGACCTCATATTATTATTAATTGAAGTTGACAAAATTAAATGAAGCTTTCGCCTAATTATATATACTAGTAATCAACCCGTGCATTTGCACAGAGAAGAATAATTAGAAGAGTTATGAATATAACAAAATACAAAATCATGATTTAATAAAAAAAAATGAATTAAGAAAATGATTCTAAATATTATTAAACACTTCTTTGTATACAACATTCAAGGTTTTCTTATCGTCGGAATCACCATCACCACATATCATTATCTTCAGATTCTTCCGATTTGTGACTCTAGAAAGAGCCACATACAACTGTCCATGACTGAAAACAGGGTTCTTCAACACTAAACCGACGTGTGAGAGATTGGTCTTGACTATTGTTGATCGTCATAGCATAGGACACCATGATTATGGGTTTGATAGCAGATTTTGAATACAACATTCAGAGATGTTTGATAGCAGATTTTGAATTTTTAAGAGTATTATGTGTTTTTACAAAAAAAATTAAAAATGAAAAGGAATTATATTTCACTTTAGACATAAAGTAAATTAGATTATGAAAAATTAATTCACACATTTTTTATTCATTATTTAAGACATTAGAACAAAGAAAGTATATTAAACATATATAATGACATGATTTCTCCAACCACGTGTATATAAAATTAATTGTATGATTATAGCATTATGTTATGATGGTGTGATGTATATTACAAATTAGGGTAATTTTTTTTTTCATTTTTTTTGTTATTTGTTGCTTTTGTTTAATGATATCACATTTTACGATTATTTAAAGTGATAGTATGACATTTAATAATAATAGCTAATATTTTCCTTTGTTAATTTATTTACTGTTATTTTGCAGGTACAATAGCAACAAAAAATTGAAGATTGATATTTATTTCAATTTAAATATGTAATTTTGTAATTTAATTTATTTTTTTATTATTTGCAACTAGAATGATTATATATCAATGCTTACACGTTTTATGTCCAACAATTCAAATAAAGTGCATGATTTGAGGTTGTAATTTAATTCAAAAATAGAAGATAACCATTTCAATCTAACTAGTACGAATCCCGTGCGATGCACGGGTAAGAAATATTTATTAGTATTTATAAATAAAAAATATGCATTAAATAATATTTTATAAATTAAGAATATTGAAACAATATGTAATACAGTTTACCTATATTAATTTTTAAAAATATTATACGAAATTTGAATTGTACAAAATTACATAAAATATGTATATTTAAAATTAGTACACAACACATACGATGCACTAACTAATAATAAATTATATTATATTCATTTCAAAATAATGTTATTTTAAAAAAAATTATTCAAAATTTCGATTTGACTACAATGTGATTCAATAAAATAAATATTTTGATAAAATTTTATCATATATTTAAAACTCTATGTGAATAATACGTATAATTATAAAACTTATAGTGTTTCATTAACTAAAATGAATTTATTTTCGTATGACCTGTCCAAATCAAAAAATTTAAGTAGTTGACTAATTTATTAAACTTTAAATAATTGAATAATTCATTTGCATCCAAGTTAATATTAGCATAAGTTATGAATAACTACTTATTTGATCTCTAAATTTAGAACCTAAATTTGGACTACACAAATAAACTTTTTTTATATATTTCATGTATAATATATATATATAGAGAAGAGATCATATGAGAATGAGGGATAGTGAAAGA